TTTTTTCCCTCCCCCTCTCCACCTCCACCTCCACCTTCTCTCTCTCTCTCTCACTCACTCTTTATCTATCTCTCTCTCCGTAAAATGGATTTAAATAAAAATGTAAAAAACGCAAAAAAAAAAAAAAGGAGAAAAAAAAAAGATGAACGCGCCTATAACTGCCTTTAAATCTTCAACAAAAAAAAAAATTTTACCTTTTTATTTTCTATTGTATTTTTTTTTATAAATTTTTTCGTTATTTTATTTACAGGGAGAAACTTTAGCATTAAACGAACGTATCATGTTGTCCCTCGTGAGCACGGGCATCGATTGTCCTTTTATTGTTTGCATGACCTACGCCTTCCACACGCCTGACAAATTGTTTTTCATATTAGATCTCATGAATGGCGGAGATCTTCATTATCATTTGTCGCAACACGGAGTTTTTAACGAGCCGGAAATGAAATTTTACGCCGCCGAAGTCATTTTAGGTTCCGTAAAAAAAAAAAAAAAATACAAACACAAATCAGGAATATTATGATGATTGCCTTTTTTTTTAAATCGAAAACGTTAAACATTTTTTTCAGGTTTGGAACACATGCATCGAAGGTATATAGTATATAGAGATTTAAAACCAGCGAATATATTATTAGACGAACATGGACACGTTCGGATTTCAGACCTCGGTTTAGCCTGTGATTTTTCCAAAAAGAAACCTCATGCGAGCGTGTGAGTATATTCGGGGGATGCGTGTGCGTGTGCGTGACAATAATGTCACCATGTTTCTTTGAAAATTACATTCGTTCGATTTGATAAAAAAAAATTAATTTTTCATTTTAAATTCAGCGGAACTCATGGATACATGGCGCCTGAAGTTCTATCGAAAGGAACTGCATACGATTCATCAGCCGATTGGTTTTCCTTCGGTTGCATGCTTTATAAATTACTTAAAGGTCACAGTCCTTTTAGACAACATAAAACGAAAGACAAACACGAAATTGATAGAATGACTCTGACGATGAACGTCGAACTTCCAGAATCGTTTTCTAGGGATCTTAGAAGTTTGCTAGAAGGTTTACTTCAAAGAGATGTTGATAAAAGACTGGGATGTAAAGGAAACGGGTAAGTAATTTTTTTTAGATTACCAATCAATCAATCAATCAATGATTTCATTCAGTTTTTTTTTTTTTTTTTTTTATAATCGATTAATTAAAAAAAAAAAAGTTCTCATCACCTTTAAAAATAACCTTCATTAATTATACGATTATCCTTTTTCTCGTTTTAAAAAAAAAAATTATTTATTTATTAAAATTTGTTGTCGATTGGTTATTGTAATTAGCGATTTTTTTTTATTATTTTAAATATTATTATTATTAATAATAATAATAATTTCAGAGCTGACGAAGTTAAAGAGCATTCATTTTTTAACGGTATCGATTGGCAGCAAGTTTATTTACAAAAATATACTCCTCCTTTGATACCACCAAGAGGAGAAGTTAATGCGGCAGATGCTTTTGATATCGGTTCGTTCGACGAAGAGGATACAAAAGGGATCAAGGTATATAATTTAATAATAAAATGGCGGTTTTTGAAAATTTGACTCAATAATTAATCATTCAATGTGTGTATATATATATTAATATATATTTTTTTTTCGAATAGTTAACCGAAGCCGATCAAGATTTGTATAAAAATTTTCCATTGGTTATATCGGAGAGGTGGCAGGGAGAAGTTGCCGAGACTGTTTTTGAAACGATTAATCAGGAAGCAGATAAAGCCGAGCAAAAGAAAAAAGCAAAACAAAAGCTCAAATTTGACGCGGATGAAAAAGGTTTTTAAAATTTTTAAAAAATTTTTTTTTGTCATTCAAGTCATGAAACATTAATTAATTGTTGTTGGTATAACAGAATCGGATTGCATTCTTCACGGATATATAAAAAAATTAGGAGGTCCTTTTGCATCCGCTTGGCAAACACGATATGCAAAATTGTACCCCAACAGATTAGAGCTTCATCCGGAATCGGGTAACACAAAACCCGAACTCATATTCATGGATCAAATCGAAGATGTTAGCCCGGATATGGTTCAAGTGAAAAGTGAGCAATGCATCGTCGTAAGAACGAAAATAGGAAAAGTCGTTTTAACGAATCCGGTGAGTGGGGGGGGGGGGGCAACAAACAAAAAATTGTTTTTTTTTTTTTTTTTTTTCTCCTCCTACATTTCACGATCATTTCATTTCCGTTGTCCGTCGTCGTCCGCGCGTTACTTTCGTTTTTAAAACATCCGTTCGTTATATTAAATGAATTAAAATCGCCAAGGGTTAAAAAGAAAAAAAAAAAAAAACTTTACGACAGATGAAAATTAGTTACGCATGTCAAAGATCAAAAGATTTCAAAGAAAGGGTTTCCCACAAATATTTTTCTATAAATTACCCTTTTTTTTTTTTTTTTCTCTCCATCATGTGATGTTGTCAGGACGGAAAAGCGGTTTTTAAAAAAGAAAATTTTTGGATTAATAAACGTTTTTTTTTTTCTCTCTTTCTCTCACAAGGACGAAATCGGTCTCAAAGAATGGGCTTTATCGTTAAGATCGGCTCATAAACGTTCTCTAGAACTATTAGGAAGCATGGCAAAAAAGGCTGGTAAAATATATGGAACCGATGAAAAACAAGGAAACAATAAAAACATGACGATGATATCAACGGGCACCAGGAACACAAATGGAAATTAATAAAGAAAGTAAAAAAAAAATTAAAAGAAAAAAGAAAAGAAAAGAAAAGGAAAATCGAAAGCTTTACTTAACTAGTCTCTTTTAATTAAATCATTTTCGTTTAGGTAAGTAAATAAGTAAAAGTTTATTACGAAATGATGACGTCACTTTCATAAAAAAAAATAGGTTGTCCGATTTATGTATCTGCCCACTCTCCCTCCCTCCCTCTCTTAAACGGAATCCAGTATTATTATTATTATTATTATTTAGGACGGACCAGGTGAATTTTTAAATGTATAATAACAACCAAAATAACAATAATATATTTATAATATTAATAATAATAATAAATATGTCGGTATTTGTTTTTATGTGTGATTGCGTACGATTGAATTTAATAGATTGTTGTTTGTTTGTACTGATGGCAATGAAACAGAATAACCGTTATGTTTTTCAAAAAAAAAATTTTTTTTTACCGGTCAAAACCGTGGTCGTGGCCGTAATGGTAGTGGTAGTGGTAGTGTTGGAATTTCCAAAAATGGGCGGCCGATTTGAAATTTTTTTTTTTTTTTTTTTTTGGGGGGGGTTTATCATATCAATAAAAGGGGGAAAAAATTTGTTTTAATTAAAGTTATTCTGTCGAAATTGTTAATCGGCGTATTAAGGTAGCTATATTGTTAGCAAGTTAGTTTATAAAAAAAAAAAAAAAAAAAATGATTTATATTATATTCGTTATATTTGTAATCGATTGTAGGTTGAATGTTTTTTTTTTTTTAAACTCTCTCTATGATTACAAGTGAACCGGAATTTTAAATATATTATATATATATATATACACGTACGTACTTGTAAGATTAATGGAAGACTCCATTTTGAATTTTTTTAAATAAAAAAAAAAAAAAGGCGCGCTTGTTTGTTAATGTCTGTTTGCCAAAGGAAAAATCGGTTCGCTTGATTGTAAAAAAAAAAAAAAAATATATCTTTTGTTAGCCGTAAAATTCTTCTGCTGGTTTTTTTTTTTTTTTTAATTATTTTTTGCAATAATAATAATAATATGTCCTAGTCAAACGATTTGTATAAACGATGCATTGTAATTTGTTTAATCAGGGGGAAGGGGGGGGGGGAATGTGTGAAAATTTTCTCAGACAATCACATTGGTTGTATATGTTATATATATATGTATATGTATATATACATATGACGCATAAACTCAGGTATGCGCGTGCATGTACGAGTGCATATATATATATATATATATATATATATATATATATATATAAATACATATATTTATATTTGTAATTGTTTATTATAATAAAAAGAAAAAAAACAGAAAAAAAAAAATTTAGTTTCCGACCAATTGCGTCGTGCAATCGCCCGTAAACTAATGAGATTTTTTTTTTTCTATTGCGAAAACCGCTCGTTTGTTTTTTTTTTTTTATTATTATTATTATTATTAATTTTTTTCTCGTTAATTAATTTTAAATTTTTCGAAAGAAAAATGCGCATACACCCAAACACACCCCCTTTTCTATCCCCTCGGTCGAAAGGGAATTTAAGGTGGAGAAAGGGGCGTATTTATAATTTTTTTACTCTTTCTTTCAAAAGGAAATTGGTTTTTATTCAATCCGGAAATCCCTTTTTTGACCATTATGAGGAAAAACAAAAAATATGTATATGTAGGGGTTGATGGAGGGGGAGGGGTAGGGGGTGGGTGTAGGAACGAGGAAAGTTTTTTGTTCGAGTTTTATTATTCCGGTGGAATAATTTTTTAACGCGTTGATAAAAATTTTCAAATTCTTTACACTAATCCGTTCTGATGTATGTATCTATGTATGTATGTATTTTATTATTTTGTAAAATAATAACATTTCAGTATTACTATTATTATTATCGTTATTATCATTATTTATTTATTAATTAATTAATTATACATATTAATTGGGTTAATGTATTAGCTTTATTTTACGCATCTCTTGCCTTTATTATGTAAAAATAAGATTTTTCTTTATTTTTTTTTTTTTTTTTTTTTTAGTTTTTAATTACGAATTATATTCCTGATATTTAAAAAAAAATTACTGGGTAATAATAATAATAATAATAGTGATGATAATAATAATAAATGATATGTTTAAAACCAGTCGGCATTTTGTGACGTGAATGAATTTTCAAATAAGCTTATTTTACGAAAAATTTCCAACAATAGTCATATATAAATAATTTAAAAAATTTAATTACGGTAATGATTACGGTATACGGAATCCCCCCACACCCCACCCCTCCCACTCCACCCCTCGCCTAGCGTGGCCTTAGCTATAACATTATCATTATTATTATTTTTTTTTCCATTCTGAAGAATTTTCAATCAGAACGGTTTGGTGGGATAGAACAACAAAAAAAAATTTTTTTTTCTTTTTTTTGTTCTGTTAATTTTGGGTTTATTTATTATTATTATTATTATTATTATTACTTTCGAAGCGGTTTATGAAGCGCGAATGTGGGCGTTTAATTAAAAAAAAAAAACAAAACAAAAAAAAAATAATAATAATAAAATCAGTGGCCGATATATATATATATATATATATATATATATATATATATACTAATGTATTTGTAAATTAGTATTAATGTAACAATTTTATATGTTAATAATAATAATAGTAATAATAATAATAATAATAATAATAATAATAATAATAATGTATGCTTATAAGGTAAATAAAATGATTGATTGCGTGCGTGCGTGTGAGAAAGAGAGAAAGAAAGAGAGTGTGTGTGTGTGTGTGTGAAAGAGTGTTCGAAAAAAAAGTAAATCAATTACGGTAATTATTAGGTATTTATTACAAAATAATAATAATAATAATAAATGAACCGAATGCGTGAAATGAATGAATTAAATGTATGAAAATAATAATAATAATTATATCCGAATAAAAATAAAATTTTCGTTTTTTTTTTAATTAATAAAAAAAAAATTGTATAGTAAATTTCCAATTAAAAAAAAAAAGTAAATTACAAAACATGTATTTATTATTATTATTATTATAACTATTTATTATTTATTTAAATTTATTAAAATTTTTTTTAAAAATAATAATATTAATAATTTACACGTTATATTAAAATATATTATAATATATATATATATATATATTAAAATGAATCATCATTGAAATAATTAAATTAAAAGGAAAACCGTTGAAAAGCAATAAGTTAATTTTTTTTTTTTATTATTATTATCATTATCGTCAATCGTCACGCAAAATTTTTTTTAAAGAAAACAACAACAACAAACCCAAACAAACAAAATTTATATATATAAAATATTATAATTGTTTACGTGTGAGAATGTATCGTTTAAATGTTTTATATAAATGTAAGAAGAATGTTATTTATATATTTGCTTTATATTGAAAATGGTGGGTAACTACTACTACTACTACTACTACTAATTAGAATATAAGTAATTATAAATAATAATAATAATAATAAATAAATAAATTAGAATTGACTTTTATATTATTTATATTTAATTTTTAATAGATCTGTATACACATAATAATAATAATAATAATAATTACTTATAGAAAATTTACATTTATTATTATATATATATATATATATTTAAAAATTCATTCATTGTATAAATAAATAAATAAATGAAAAAAAAAAAAAATAATAATAAGTAAATAAATGAGTCTTTTTGGTATTATTTGAAACGTTTTAAATTGGAAAAAAATAAAATAAGGAGGAGGAAAAGGAGGAAGAAGGAAGGGGAGGAAAGTTTTTGATCGTTTGAATATTTATTATTATTATTATTATTATCATCGTGAGAACGAACGTGAAAGATTTGTTAATTTTTTTTTTTAAATATCAAAAAAATTCCTGTCGTTGGTTTTGTGGTTTTCTTTTTCCTTTTGTTTTTTTTTTTTTTTTTTTTGAATTTGTTAATGGGGGGAAAAAAAAGAAAAAAAATTATTTCTCACAGTTAATCACATCCGATACAATTATTATTATTATTATTTAATTAAAATATACAATACTATATTTATTAGTAATAAAAAAATAATAATAATATATAAAAGAAATTACAAATCTCTTAGTGATTTTAATATATTTTCTAATCTTTTATCCAATTTCAATCGTTTTAATTTATATTCTAGAGTTTCAAAATCGGCTCTTTCGATTTCATATCTCGGATCTTTCGATTGATTTGGCATATTTTTAAAATATTTCGGTCCTAAAATCCTTTCGCAAATGGCACAAATACCGGTAAAAGTTCGAAAATTTAATTTTTCATCGTTTTTCCAACCGATTAAATTTTGAAAATTTTCTATTATTTCATTCGTCATACTCCTACCCATAATTTTTTCCAAACCTTGTATAACGTTCTATTTATTTGAAAAAAAAAAAAAAATATAATAAAATTAATTATGTACATATTCACATAAGTAAATGAACGAGTTAAATTTACCTTTCCTAATAATATTCTTTCATTATCTTCTTCTTGTTCGTCTTCTGTTGTTTCTTTACATAAATTAAATACGTGATTATAAAGTAAAAGTCTCGATTGAGATGGAAACGAATAATTTTGTAAATAATTCAAAGGTGTCATGTCTAAAATGGGTGTAAATTAACATTTAAAACTTTTATTATGAGAAAAGGTATTATTATTTTGTCTCTTTGTCGATGTCGAAGGACAGTTTACCATTTAATAATCTACTATCCATTGGCAATTCAAATCTGGCACAACGTCTTGTGAAAACTCTTGGAATGGATAACCAATTTTCCGAATTTTTTATAGATAAATGAAAATCTTTTTTGAGTTGTTTTATTTCTTCTCCCTGTTGATTATATTTTACCTTTGATTTGTGATGTAAAGCTTCTTCCAAAGCTTTTCTTCTCTGAAAATATATACAAATAATTTTTCTCAAATGTTTTTGTTGTCGTTTTTCAACAGTAAAAAAACCTCGAATATGATACTGAATTTTAACCAGTAAGAGTTTTAATTTTTTAAAACAAGGTCAAAGTTTAAAACAATACCTTTTCTTTCTTTCTTTTGGTTAAAATTTTTTATTAATGTTTATGACAATAAGGTTATGTTACATAATTTGATCTTACGTTAAAATTAAGTTCGGAATCGACAACTTCTTGATCTAACTGTCTTTGAAGTTGTTTTAAAATATCTTTTGATAAAAATGATTTTTTATTTTCATCTATTTCAACATCTTCTTTTACTATCGTTGGTATTATTTCTTCCACGATATTTTCAGATGTTTTTTCATCTCCCGAAAATGAATGTCTCGAACTGCTATTCATCGAATCGCTACCTATTGCCGATACTTGAGTTTCGTTTGGATCTGGTATTCCTTTGAATTCTTTTTCACCTTCTTTTCCTCTTTCTTTCAATGTTTTTTTTCCTTTTCTTTTTTTACCTCTTCTTTTAACTATCACATCATCGCTCGATGTGCTATCCGTACTTTTATTATGAGTTTTGCTTAGTTTTTTTTCCTTTTCTGTTATTAAAACGCTTCGAGTGGGACTTGAACTAGTTACGGAATCTTGAACCTTGCAAAAACAAAAAAAAATCACGTGATTCATTTAAAATGTAGGATTTTTTTAAAATTCGTGGTGAATGATTACCTTCGAATCGGAACCTTTCGAATTTTGAGTTTTTAAACTGGAAGCTGTCGTGGAGGAAACAATCGATTTTTTTCTTGGCGTTTTTTTCTTCTTTGTTTGTACGGGACTTTGGCTCGAGGGTGTACCTGGTCTAAAGTATGAAATAAATAAGATTTGTACTTTAAATAAAATTTTATTGAGTAAACGTGAAATTCTATAAATAAATACCTGGAAATATTTTCATCCGGTATGTTACCCGTATCATTATTATTATCAAAACTTAAATCTCTTTGCAAATGAACCGTATCCTGACTATGACTTCGTCTAAGATCCAACACCAAAAGTGTTTTTTCTTTTGTTGGAATGAAAGATGTCGGATCTGGTGTAAGACATCGTCGATTTTTAACGTTCTACACATAAAATAGTTTAAAGATACAAAATAAAAAATTGTTGTTATGTTACAGCAGCCATTGAATTGTAGACTCACCGGTGAAATTTTATTGTTTGGTGTTGAAGTTAAACATTTTTCATTTGTTTCTTCGAAATTGTACGAAGAATCTTTTAAAACATTTTCATCGTAAATGCTTTTACTAAATTCCGATGAAATTAATTCTTTTCTTTGTGATTTCAATGCATCTTTTTCTTCTAAATCTATCAACGATTTTCCTTCTGTTGCCTGCGATATACGAATAGTCGTTAATCTTTTGGGAATTTTTTTTTTTTTAAATTTTCTTACAGTAAAAATTTAACAAACCCATGCATCTTTAGCTTTTTGAACAATGGCTTTGGCTTCGAAATCTGTTGGATGATTACATAAAATAGAGCAACCGTATGGAAAAGGATTATATATTCCAGCAAATGGCCTGAGAGCAAATGAAACAGGTACGGCAAGCAGAGGCAGTTCGAATGTTTTTTTTCTTACACAGTAATGTTTCTACGAAAACAAATATAATAATAATTAATATTAATTATTTACCAAACAGTAAAACTACATTTTAATAACAATTCAATTTTATTAATTCAAAACCTGAGAAACTTTTTTTGAACTTGGCAACAGACCAGTCTTACTTGTTACCGACATTTTTAAAACGCTATTCGAAATTCAAAATTGTTTACTCGTCGTCAAGGCAACGTCAACTCGTCATGACGTCATTAAATAATTTAAGATGGAGTATCATGTTTGAAAACAAAACGTTAAACTGGTATTTAGATAGAATGGTTTAGTGAGTTATGAAGGTCATGGTTGGTTTTCTATTAAAATCTGTTTTTCGCGCTACGAAATATTATAATATTATTTTTACACGTACCAATTAATGTTTATTATTAATCGTTCCAATTTATTTCGTTTAATTTTTTTTTAAAATCAGACATTTTACATAATCAGAAAGTCGATAGTTATATTAAATTACATATTAAAAAAAAAAAAAATAAATTTTCGCAGTATTATGTCACAATTTTTACTTAACTAAAAAACTCTTAACAAAGTTTATTTCAATTCATGGATTCATTAAGGTAATCATTAATTTTTTTGAAAATTAAATTTTTTTTATTCTACTTTGGTTATCTGATAATATTGGTTTTATCTAATTAACTCCCCATTGTTCTTTATCAGAGGAATTAAAAGTTAGCTTACCTCAAGCTATTTATGACCTAAATTATAAAGCCAAATGTGTCATGGAGATTATGTTTTACTTATTATTTTTTGCAACATTGGATTAATATTTTGAATTTTAATAAAAAAAATAAATATCATTGTGAATACTATTTATATAAATAAAATTTACTTATTACATTTTTATTCATTATTTTAGAATAATGATACTCTTTTAATTTTTTTTTGTTTTTCGATATTCCTATTTAATGAAATATTATTTCTATATATCTGTATTAATTATATATAGTATTTCAAAATGTCGATAGATTATTTTTTTCCCCAAATAACTTTATTCATTTACATTATCATAAAACTTAATTGAGTAGAAATCATTTATTTTAAAATAATAAAATTTATTAAAGCTCATTTATGCTTTTGTGATGCAAGGGAATGAAATATGTTATTAAATAAATGTAAAAAAATAAGATTTATCGCTTATACACATGTATTTTTATTTTTGATAGAATTTACATTGTGTCGTACAATGTTGCCTGTAAACCACCAGAAGAAAATCTCGAAGAACTTTTGGGTTTTGAAAAATCAGAAGAAAACCTTCCAGATTTTTATATTGTAGGTCTTCAAGAAGTCAAAGCCCAATTATACAATATAGTACTCGATGCCTTGTTAGATGATCCATGGACAATTGCATTTAAGCAAGTAACTTGTTTTTTCTTATCGATTACTCTTTTACTAATACTTATTCGATTTACAATAAAAGTATTAGTTTTAAATTTTATTTTTTAGTAAATTTAAAGCCATAAATACATAATAAAAAGATTTTTTATAAATACTTGATGAGTAACAACCAAAAAGTTGTATTTTTAAATGTTTACCATAGTATGACATCCATTAATCAATCGATTTCAAAAACAAGCTTTAGTTTCTTACAAAAAAAATTATTGATAAGAACAATTAATGGACACAAATATTTAAACATTAAATTTTTTATCTTCTCTTTTTTCTTTTCAATAAAATAATATTTACATAAACATTTTTTTTTATTTACAAATTGTTTTTAGTGTAGGAGTAAAATATAATATTTGAATATTTCTATTAATTTTTTTTCTACGTCACAAACGACCTTCAAGACTCTAAAAAAAATAATAATAATAATAATAAAATTTTTTTTTTAATGTAGTTTTTTTTTTTAAATAATTAATGATTTGAGACAGTTTAAATTTATTATGATTTATTTATAAATATAATGAATTTTAAATTAGAAAAGGATAAAAATTACGGCTCCGTCCTCATCGTTTCTTTACTTTATTTATTATGTATTTTGTTTTTTGTTTTAGAATGAAGTTGAAATCGAAAAATTACATAAAATTAAAAACTGTTCGACTCCAGGGTTTAATTTTAAGCATATATTCAAAAAAAAATCATTTACTTAACGTGAGAGATATAGAAATGCAATACATAAAAACGGGTCTCGGTGGATTTTGGGGCAATAAAGGTGGAGTTGCCATAAGAATGAACGTTTATGGAGTTTCCGTATGTGTCGTAAATACGCATTTGACACCACACGATCAAAATTTACAAGCCAGAATAGATGATTACAACCAGATAATCAATACTATGAATTTTGTTCGTCAAAAAGAAACGACTTCGATATTATTTCACGAGTAAAATCCTAACAATAATTTATATTTAAATATTAATTTGTTTATTTTGTTGTAAAACGATCGATGAAAACGTTAATTTTATTTTTATCAGTTACGTGTTCTGGTTGGGAGACCACAATTTTAGAATAGACGAAGCAATTAGCCATGAAGAAATATTAGATAAAATCAAAGCGAAAAAATTGGATTGGTTAAAAAATGTCGATCAATTGACGAGCGTGAGGAGAAACGGTCAAGCATTTAGCGAATTGATAGAAGAACCTTTTAATTTTCCTCCGACGTATAAATATATATTTAAAACATGCGAATATGATCCCAAGTGAGTTGAATTCCCCGTGGATTTAATTATTCGTTGCGTAATTATTTATTTATTGTTCTGTTTGTTGTTGTTTACAGACGACGACCTGCTTGGACCGACAGAATTTTATACAAAGTAAATGCAAACGCTTATGAAAACATTACTCTAAGCGCGAATATGATATCTTACAAAAGTTTTCCCAATTACTTAGTCAGCGATCATAAACCTATTGCCGGTGAATTTATTTTTAAAGTTTTCAGCGATTATTCCGATCGTACAATTGAATTTAATCCGGTGAAAACTTGGTACATAAACGAAGAAAATATCGTTCATTTCACAGCCGAAGATATACGAATCTCAGATTGGGACTGGATCGGTGTCTATAAAGTAATTTTTTGTTCCAACCATCATCATCATCAATTATATATTTGTTTATTATGGAGCCAAAGTAAAACTTTTAATAAATTTAAATTGTTTTCAGCATAATTTTTGCGCACTCGATGACTATGTTTCATTCGTTTACGTCAACACAGTGTCTACAACCGCAAGCGAAGGATTAAATTTAAATAGCATGAGAAGAAAAGAAATCAAATTTCCCGATGGAATGGTTAGAACGGAAGGAAAATATTGTTTGATATACATGACGGCGGATTCTGGTAGCGTTTTAGGAATCAGTTTACCATTCGAAGCTAAATTTAAACCCGGTAAGCAATTTTACGAATGCTAAGAAAAAAAAAAAAATTATCCATCAATCGGTAGCCATTTTCAAACAAAATCTGCTGTTGAATTATTCAAATTTTTATTATATAAAATTTTGTATTTATGTCAGTTAAAAAGTATTCTTCGAGTACTTTTTTATCTTACATGTTTTTTTTTTTTTTTTTTTTTGGTACTTTAATAAATAAACCATAATATTTTTTTTTGACAAAATCATTTATCGTTATATTTATTTATATTTTTATTAGAATCTTAATTTTATTATAAAAATGTGTTCGATGTGTTTTATACTTGTCAATAGAAAAAGGTTCAAAATTTTGTTTTTTTAGGTCTTACAGACCGATTACTAAGCGGAGTAGACAATAGTGAAACAATGCCTGGGTTCCGTTCGCCAAGACGTTCGCCAGCTCGAATTAATGCTAACACTATCAGTTCTGCGAGTAAAGAAATTGCAAAAGCATTTATTAATCAACAATAGAAATTACTTTTAATTTATTTCAGTACTAATAATGCCAAGCTTTATATTTTTTTTTTTTTTTTTTTAAATTTTTACATAAGCAAATAACATAGTATGAAAAACACGCAAAATTTATTTTCATGCCTGATTATATTAAATTGGGTTTTTGAATTATCAAAGGGAAAAAACACTAAATTAGCTTTAATCTTTATTTAATTATTAAATTGCAATTTTGTGCATTTATGTAATTATATTTATAGATATAATTATATATAATGTATATATGTATATATATATATATATATATATATATATATATATATTTATATATATTTATTTTTATACTTTATATAATTCTTAAATGTAGTACAACAACTTAAATAACATAGGTCAGTATTTAAAATATTAAATCCCTAGTATTGTATTAAAAAAAATTTATTATTGTTGCTTATTATATATATTGTTAAAATTTATTATCCAGGTGATAATAATAATAATTTTATGTTTAATTATATCAAATAATAAAAAGGCTACACCTGAAAAATTGACTTGAATTTATTGGTATTGACCTTCAACTAGTTTTTCAATATTGAAGTTAAGATATGAAGAATTATCTCCAAAACAAAAAAATATGCTTGACATATATTATTATTACATCTACTGATACAATTGTTAAAAATTGGTTGACTTTAAAAAATTTTTGAAGCTTCGTGTATATATAAAGGAATTTAATTTTTTTCAAATCATTATTCTCACAGTTTTCTAAGTGTTAACAACTCATACTTGGTCTTACAAGTTATTATTTGAAAAAAATCTATATAAAGTCGTAACAAAAAAGTGTATAGTGCATACATCATCAAGTGATCAGCAAAAATTAATCATTTGAGTGCTTAATATTATATATTTTTTTCACTAATTTTTAAAAAAGCAATCATGTTTTCTGGTTTGATGTTATTGTTTAATTTAAAGTGTTTAAATTGGAAAATAAAAAAATTTTTCAAAAAAACCACGTCTAGTTTCAAAGGCAAATGCTGCGGTCAAAAAAGTTCTAGATCAAAATGGAATATTTTCAATAGTTTTAGAAGAAAAACCACTACTCAAAACAATAATAAATGCTGTCAAAATAAAAATTTGACAAATAAACAAGATGGCGGGAAAAAAAAATAACAAGAAACAATGCCCGTGGCAATAATAAACATTAATTGACACTACTGCCACGGTCATTTACGAAATATTAGTTTAGTTACCGGTAGTTAGTTTTATACATATGATATCGAATGGAAAATAATTCTCAATATTATGAAGGATGTGGAAAAGAAGGGCCAATCCGATGTATATTTTTATGCGAATTTCATCCAATTGCAGGCCCGAAAATAACATGTCAGGTTAGATTTCTTTTTATATATAATTTAAAATTATTTTTTTATTCAGTAATGGTTTTTAGCATAAGTTTTTTCAATTTAAATATTTAGGTGCCTGAAAATTATATATCGAAAGATACATTTGACACTGTTAGTGTTTATATAATACCAAAAGCTCAATTACAAAGAAGTACTATTACAGTGTGAGTGAAATAATTTTACATCATATGAGAATAGTTAATATTAATTATTTTTATAAAAGCAAAAATACACTAAAGCGCGATTGTACTAATGATGCATTTTATTTTTTATTTTATTTTAGAACCCTTCATGACAAAAAAATTTTAGGCTTACCTGTTAAAATAGATGATAAAAAATATGCTAGAAATGCATTTTATTTTAATTTATGTTTTGTTTGTGATGCATGGGCTAGAACTGTTCATTATGAGCCATTGCTTAAAAAGTTATCTGATTATTTAATCGGAATGGAATTAGAAAGTAAATTTTTGTCACTTCAAGATGAAGATGAAAATGAAAAAAAAAAATTATCGAAAATGTTGAGTCAAGTTATTGAAGATTTAAATTCAACAAAAATGTGCACATTAACAGGTTCTTGGATATTTTTATTATTTAAAAAATTTTTGAATTCTTCATAAAATTTCATCGATAAATACTTTAAAATTTTAGAAGGTGTCACAACAACTCATTTAAAAGTTGTCAGAGTCAATGCTGATCCTATGCCTGTTCACGATCATCAAGTTCCCATATTTGTTGAAAATCGTGGTGAATTTTTCGAAGAACAATGGGATCTTACAACACAACAAGTTCTTCCTTTTATCGATGGTTTTAATCACATTTCAAAAATTGCTGCCAAAGCTGATGTTGAAAACAATTTGGTTAAATCATGTGTTCAAAATTTAGTGTGAGTCAGTAATTAAAAAAAAAAAAAAAAAAAATTTCAACAGGTTTTTGTACATGGACAAATTTAAATATGAAAAAGTTTTTTTTTTTTTGTTTTTTCAGTTATTATGGAGTAGTGAGTCTTATTCCTATTTTTCAATACTCAAACGTTTATGCAGGAACTCCAAAATTAAGAAAATTAGCAAATGATTTAGATTTTCAAAATGAATGCATTGAATATGTATCAAAATCTGCTAGGTGTCCTCCAAATTTCAAAGATGTATTTGTAT